ATAGTTTTTTCGTGATCAGAGTACCAAGTACCTTTCAAGGCGTAATTTCATCATATTCGGATGTTGACCTCGGTGTCCCTAACGCATTTCTATGAGAGCCCGGTGCTTAAACTTGCCATCACTAGATTCGCCTCGGCGCTTATATCAACGCTTTTTTTTTAATTTGTAAGAAGTTATGACCGTGAAATTTTTGCGACTGGGTTTGGACGATTTGGATATTTCAATATGAAGCCATGTCCTAATAGAGGTTGCTAGCACTTTTGTAGCTGCCAGTAAAGGGGTTGAAGTTATAAACATTGCCTCCTGATTTAGTGGAAGATTTGTTTTATTTCCAGATTTGTCTCACGCGACACTTCTACCTGCGTCAACGTGTGGATGACCTTCTTAGTGCAGTTCTCCAAAGAAATCCACCAATAACTCTCGATCCAGCGCCAGACGATGGACAGACTATGCACGTGACGCCTGAACTCAGTAGCTCTCACAGGTAATGAAAACGAGACTAAGAAGATGGAATCAAAAATGAAGCTAAAATAAGTAGAGTTGAAAAGAGATTAAAATCAAACTCTATTCTCAGTAGCTTTCTCTCCTAGTGGAACTGGATGAATATTATGGACCTGTTTCCCAACTTTACACATCCTCACTTTGGCAACAGTTGCTATGACAAGAAGTTTTGAGAATTCATGCAAAAACCGCATCATCTTAGCACATGCTCCTTCATGAATAAAATAGCATATGTTGATTTTATAACAAACACACGGAACTGCAGTTAAGGCATTGAAAATTTAACTCTTGTCGTGAATCTGTCCCACAGCAGCTATTCATGAAAAGTAATTAGAAAGTAACTACAGATTTTCATTCACCTTCACATCATCTTCGCATTTTTTTTTATAAAGGAAACCTTCCACCTATCTTTCCTGTTTCAGTATTCGATCAGAACGTGATCAACGAGTAGACTTTCATGTAGCACCTGAACGTCACGTCGAGATCTTAGCGACGTTTTGGGATAGAGAGGACATCGGACAACAACGTGCCATGTTATAAGAATTTTCTTATTCTTTAGTTTCACATAACTATTTACATGGTACAATGGGAATGTTTCCGTGTTTTGCGCTCTTAAGAGCTATCT